AAAGTGGAAAGTCTTATCTTTCAAAGGAAAAAAGTAAGTTTCTATCTTTTATGGTTGGAAAGTTATGCATGGATATGTAAAACATATTCACCAGTGTCGTATACAGTCTGGATGGTTTAGAGCTTCTATTCCATATTAAGCGAAATTGACACATTTAAGACATGTTAGAATGTTGTTATCTCATCAAAAACATCCCCAGAGTTGTGTTTGTTTCACCCAGACTTAACTAACCCTGCATTAACAGGCTGCCCACATCTTCAAAGTTCAAAGTGGTAGTTTTATTTTTTTGCCTGAACACTTTTACTCTACAATACAATAGAATAAGGGCTGCTGAAGGTTTACAGTTCAGTCCCAGTGCATTTTACATTTGTGTTGTTGGGCAAGACACTTCAGCATCCACATCCTCCACATCATTAGTGTGAGTGCGTCGGAGTACAATAGTGTATTAATGTGTGAGTGTATTTAAGTGTCACTGAGCAAAGTGCATAGATGTTGGATGTTAAGTATCCAACAAAGGTAGAAAAGCGCTGTTGAAACGTAGCCATTTACTGAAATAGTGTGTCTGGAGTGGATAATAGGAGTGAAGTGTCTTGCCTAGAGACACAACAACATTATACAAGTGGGGTAAGAACTAATGGCCAGATGAATTCTAATAAGAGGTCGTATAATTTAGTTTTAGTTCTTGTAATGTAATGTAAAAGCAGCTAGTGGAAAAAAAAATTGATTGTAGGACAAATGTGATCTCAGACATTTGTTTGTTTGTCACGGTTCCACATCAGGGTGAGAGAAATTACTCTCAAGTGGGCGGGACCAACAGTTCATTTTAAAACATACTCTACATGTATGATTAAAAATCGGATACTGGATTTTTACAACCAGCCCCAGCTACATCTACTTAAAGTTTCCTATCAGTGATAATAATAAAGCATTGGATATAGGGTAAGGCTGCATAATTAATTGAATTTTGATTGTGATTTCGATTTGTTTATTTTGTTTATTTTGGGATTTTTTTTATGTAAATAAGTATATTTATTTATTTTTTATATATAGAGATATATAGCTGGATATATAGTTTATTTTGGATACATTTATGTTTTTCTATGCCTTATTTCATGTTCAAAGTATATTTTATTCATTTTATACAGTTTTATACATCGCAAAACTGCTCAGGCACATTTTTGTAGCCTATATTTATTTTCAATTTGAAAGTTTTGCATAAATAATCAACAACATAGTGTTTTGTTTGGGGTTTTTTTGAGAGAGAAATGCTTAGTAAATGCATCGTATAACTAAAAAATAATCTTGAATATTGAATAATCGTGATTTCAGTATTGACCAAAATAGTAAGTTTTTCCATAATTGAGCAGACCTAAAATATACATTCACATTTCATTATTCATTCACTCCACACTTGGTGGTCGTATTGTAGCATCTCCGGGGTAGAATGACAGAAGCAAGACTGCCAATCTGCACCGTCAGAGATTCCAAACTAGGCTAGGGGTGTGAAGTGTCTTGCCCAAGGACACAAAAACAGTATAAACTACACTAGAGCCCCCTGCTGCCCTTCTACAATCTGTTTGAATCCAGAAGGTACTGGAACCGGACTAGAGCGTGAAAATCCTCTGTTATAATTTGAAACGATCCAACCACAGCTGCTAATTTGTAGAACATGTCTCTCAAATGTGAAAGACATCTCTTCCCAAAAATTCTCTGAAAAAAAAAATGAGAAGAATAATAGTATGGTGCATCGATTGTTGATTCTGTAAAAAATTGCGCTGTTTCTCAGTTCTTTATGTTGTTTTTTCTCCCCTTTTTATGTCTAAACCGCCATGTTTGTTTGACGCAAATGGTGTCTCTCTGATTGGTCTGTCAATCACGCCCTCTGAAATCAGGGAGACATGATCCCCTCGTCTTTGTAAAGTTTTGTCAAAAAGTCTGGTTCTGGCTGGTCAGGTAATCAAGTAAACAACAAACCAGGCTCAACTGTGCTTAGCTTCCACAATCAGACAAGATCGAACATAGTAAAGATGGTGTTGCTAGTCCTAATTTGTTTGTTTTATTTGGTTGGATACATATTTCATTCATCAATACGCATCCCGTCTACTGTCAAACATCTCCAGTTCCAGTTGAGATACAAGAAAACCTTGTTTTTCTTCTGAAGTGGGTCAAAACAAAGTAGCAGGTCTAGACTAGAGACACACCACAGAGAGCAAGATCAATAGGTGCTGGTGCTCCGGGTGGCCTTTTTTCATAGCAGCCCCACAAATGGACAGCGGGGTGTTGGAACTATATAACACATGATGAATGGTAAAGAGACTGAAGTGTCTGACAGGATTGATCCGCTGATGTACGCGTTTAATTGAGCTGCGCATATTCCCCTACGCCCTGCTTGCCTCTTAATGCGTTGCTAATGGGTACTTTGCTTTGTATAATGACTCGTATTTCCACTCATCCACAGCCACATGTGAGCCTATTATAATTTTATTAAAAAGGGTTTCATATGATCTCACACACTCATAAAATTGATGGGATGTTAACCAAGGAAGTCAAACAAAATGTATAATCTTTTATTTAATTAGCAAAGCGGTTTAGAGGTGTTTTTTTTTTTTTTTTTTTTTCCCCAGTCAGTTTTGGGATAATGAATTTTAATTTATTTTTGTAGCTTTGCCTTTCTCAATTAACCCAAATGATGGAAGCGATTCCTCTTAATTTTTGTGTTATGAATTGAAATGAAATCAGACTCCAGTAAATTAGCAAACTATCAAAGCCAAATAAGAAGTTAGTTACTCGGTTAAATTCTCAACTTGAATTCACGCAGGAAGCAATTAAAATACAACTATTTATTAGAGACAACTTGAAATGAAATGCTATAACAATCATTTAAAGAGGGGCTATTATGCAAAATCTATGTTTATTTTTAGCCTTTAAACATTCCTGACAAGGTTTTAGAGGTCATCCATGCATGTTTCAGTAATTGAGCGATCTCTCCCAGCTACTATTCGAACCTAGCCAGGCTGGCGCCACCTAGTGCCTCCTCTCAATTTCATTTCTCTCCAGCAACTAGGTCAGGAATCAGAATACAATACATTGTTTGCAAGAACCCCGGAAGTTGTAGACCGCGCATCAGCCAGTCAGAGAAAAGCTGTGAAGCCATGATGTCAAACTCAGCGCGTGTCTGAGTCTCTTTTGTGGTACAGCACAACAGTAAACAAAGCGGCTGAGATGGATGTAGACGAAGACATACATTCTGTGTTGGCAACTAGTGATGGGCGAATGGAGCCTCGTGAAGCATTGACACCTCAGTCGCAATATTGTCTCAAATGGCTCGACGTGTCTGAGGCCTTGGAGAAACACTGACCTCTAGTGGACAAATTTAACTATTGGCACGCAGGTGTCTCAGCATCGATAAAGTATTGTTAGTGTAAGACAATACTTGTGTCCAGAGCATACACCGTACTCAACAACAACAATAATAATGATGATTTAAAATAATATGTAAAGAGCAACATAAATAGTATGGTGTAAATAAGAAAGTAGGTTATCTTGTTTGGTGGAATTAGACCAAAGTGATCCCAAACCATGGATCGCTTTTTTCCACTTGTAGATGCCATCGAAAATGAAACAAATGCCAAAAGTCACCAGAAGTCACCAAAATCACCACTAGCGTCACACAATACTCTTCAATACCCAACATTTTTAAGAAATATTGGTGCATCTTTTATACTGTAGCAGTTTAGCGCTGGTCAAACCACGAAAGTGCGCTGAACACGCTGAAGCACTCTGAACCAGTCGCAGAGCGGAACATTCGCTGAGCCAATGAAATGCTTCGATACACTGAAGTGACTGACACGCAGAGCGAAGCAGTAGGGGGAGGGACCGACACTTCAACACTTCGGTCACGTGAGCGGCTGCTGCGAGACGAGCTCCGAGGCAGTGCTTCGGAGCAATTTGTTTCAGAACGAACGAGACGTGCTCCGGAGCTCCGTCTCATTTGTCCCATCACTATTGGCAACGATTCCTGAGATCGAGGATTTAAAGCCGGAACAAAAAGAATGTTTGGTGAATTTTATCAAGGGGAAAGACGTTATTGCCCTTCTTCCTATGGGGTTTGGTGCATTACATTCGTCATGACCAAATAGCAGCGATTGGTTAAATAAAAAAGTACCCGCCTACCAGTCGAGCAAACGAATCCTACTGCCATGGTTTTTCCTAATGCTGTCCTAATAGTCAGAAAGTTTCCACGAAGTGAGACCGGCTGATGGATCAGGCTAACTCGAACCGTCTTTAGCTATAAGATTCTATGCAATGCTCAGTAAATGTAAATATACAAAAAGCATGACACAGTACCATACACAACAACTTGACAAACCTGGTGCAATGTGCAGTAGTTTTATTAACAGAAAGCATGCTGACTGTGTTGTGATATCGCTCAGAAGATGGAGTGACTTAGCGCAGAGAGCAAAGTGAGGGCGACAAAGGGAGTGGATCAAAAGTAGACGTGAAACTTAGAAAAATATATTAATACATTGCTTCGGTGAATATAGGATTTTCAAAACAATAAAAAGTAACTTGGTGTTTTAAATATGTTAATACTTCATAGAAATAAAACATTCCCTCTTTAATCTGACAATCAACATTACAGGTTTTTATTTTGAACTTGAGAAATTTAATTTGGTGTGCAATGTTATACCATATATCAACATTTATCTTTCTAAACAAAAAAGATAACTGATGTAATGCAAGCTTCAGATCCATTTTATTCGATTTTTTATTTTATTTATAAAACTAGAATTTATATCATGATGTCCTTCATCGAATCAGATCAAGATTAAAGTCTGTGTTGGTTTCTTTGCAAATTAAATCCCATAAAGCCAGGAACTTTTTGATTTAATTTCCTCATTTAAAATAGCTGCAGACTTTAGCTGGGTGAAAAAGCTGTATATTTAACACATACCAGCTGCTGTGTCACTGATATACTCTTGTTTTTTCCTTGTTGACAGGTTCGGCCTCATCCTTCATCGGAATGAGCCTGTCCTCCACAAAATCGACCTAGAGACGACATCCTACGTGAAAAACATCAGCCTGCAAGAGTATAACTGCATCCCCAAATCCATGGCCTACACCCACCTCGGAGGATACTACTTCGTCAACTGCAAGGCCGACTCGACCGGGGCTACCCAACCTCAAATCATTCTGGACAGCGTTACTGACAGCGTCATCGGATACAATCGCGACGTAACTGGCACTCCATACATCTCTCCCGATGGCCACTACTTGGTTACCGTTGACGACACGGACGGACTTATGCGAATTCAAACCATTTCGGAGCACGGCAAGATCAGTGACCCTTTCGACATCCATACCAACCTGCACCTGTCAGACGTAGCATTCCAGAGGTCCTTCACCGAGCTGCACCAGTACAACATTTTCGGCAGTTCCGGACGCCAAACCGATGTCCTTTTCGTAGAACTCAGCAGCGGTAAAGTGAAAATGATCAAGAGTTTGAAAGAAGCCACCAAGTCGTACGAATGGCCGTGGAATGCTAAGAACCGGATTATGGCGAGCAGCGGACTTTTCGGACAGTACCTCATGACACCGTCCAGGGAGTCTTTGTTCATTTTAGACGGACGACTCAACAAGCTCAACTGCGAGATCACGGATGTGCTGAAGGGGAATGTTGTGGTGTGGGTTGGCGAGTCCTAGGTCCTGGTTTGATTTGGTTTTCAGTTCCTCAAAAAAGTACTCTTGCACTGTTAAGTTTTGTCGGAGCTAAGATTTGTCCAAGAACCAAATTGAAGAAGTTCAATTCAAAGACTGGCTAAAGTCGGTGAACACAGAGATTTACAAAAAAAAAAAAAAAAAAAAGCAACATTATTTAACTTTACAGTGAGGATCTTTCAGGTCGGCATTGGGGTCTCTAGGCTGTGTGGTGTACCTCTAACGTAAGAGTAATTTTAAAACTCACCGCTCATTAAGAAGTAAATAAAGGCCTTCACGTTTGCCAAGTGAGCAACAATTGGTTACCTAAATCAAACTACACATTATGAATTACTAATAACTAAGTAAAAATTTGCATCAATAGTTGGAAATAGATCAGGTTATGTTGATTAGAATGCCAATGTATGCCAAGGATAAAATTTATGCGTTTTTATGCGTATTTGACTCATAGAAAGTGTCAACAAGCACGTTTTCGACTAACATGTGAAATTAGCTGATCTTCGGATAGCACATAGAGTTACGTAATGTTGCTTCAAGTACATTGCAAGGTGAACAATGCATTACAACTTCCCGTACACCAAATTGATCGCCGGTGTCTGCGATGCTGTAGATAATCTTGAAAAAAATAATGAAAATCCCACAAATATTTATCAAATTGGCAAAATAGTGTCCCTATAATATGCTGTACACCTCCCGTAATTTTAATTTATACCCATCCTCAAGTCTTTTCCGTGCCTTGAAGGAAAATTCCGTTCGGTCGGAGGAATTAGCGTAATTATTCCCAGCGTGACTGCAAAACCGACTCACCTCTTTTCTTTGACCCCAGCTCTCGTCTATCAGGCTGCCCGACTTTCCCTAATTAAAATGGGCCCTTGCTGTGATCCTGTCCCGTTTGAAGTGGAGACTGAAAGACAAGAGTGGTTCATTATGGCGGCGCGCTCCCTAACCTCCTGATCTCGAATTATAACCAGCGCGATAGGTCCACGAGGATGTATACAGTTTTCTCTAGCGTTCCTTTATATATTCCAAAGCAGAAAGAGAAAGACGGGGAGAGTTAGAGGTATAGACACACACCAGCTTTAGACACCGCACGTTAATGTAAAACTTAGGAAACTCAAATGTAGAGACAATAGAGCACTTGTATTTAAAACAGAACCAGATGATAATGTCATGTGTGGATCAGATGAGTTGGGTTTGTGATAGTCAAGAACAGTGTGAGTTTGTGGCGTTAATATGCATGGTCGGATATGTTGGAAAATTGGGTTTTCCAACCAAGGATAACCATATTTCCTTATTGGGGTAATTCATCATTTCAAAAGTGCATTGTGTAATTTTTCCGGTGGAGGATCAGTCAAATGCTTTTCTCCATGGAGTTGTTGCTTCGTTGCTTCGCCTGGAATGGTTCACAGTATGATATTAAACCTTTGAAGCTTCATGGAGACCAAACCAGATCAAGTTACAGGTCAGATCTGTGGAAAGGCGACCACATCCAGACTCAGAATGCCTGTTTTTCAAGGTATTTTTGAGCTATAAAACCACCTATGAGTGATTAAAAGTCAGGTAGAGCTGTTAAATATCTAAGGCTACGTTCAGACTGCAGGCCTTAATGCTCAATTCGGATTTTTTTGTGAAATCAGATTTTTTTTTTTGTGAGGTCATTCACGTTTCCAGTTAAGTACAACTTGTATGTGAACTTTAAACGCCCCAAAAGTGTCCCGCATGCGTATTGGAGGACACAACAACGTCACACGCAGCAAACGTCCTTAGTGTTTAAGGAAGACGCCTAAATATGGACATGAGCATTGAGCACCTGGCCATTTTAAAGTTGCTGTCGTACCGGAGCCAGAACATGTACAGCTTATTTGTTTTAAGGAGGAGATTGAGAAGGAGAAGGACAAGGTTTTTGGCCGTGGTGTTTTGTGGGGCAGTAGAAGAACGTCTGTTGAAAGAAACGTGTGGGTGCGGAGTCGCAGCCAAGAGTTGTGGGATTGCTATGTGCTTTGCGTTGCTGCTTCACTGACACGAAGTTCAGACACAATTTTCGTAGCCGTTCAGACTGAAGTCGCATGTCAAAAGATCGGATATGTATCGGTTTTAGGAGCACATATCCAAGTGGCCTGGGTCGCATTTGAAAAAATCGGATGTGTGTTGTTCAGACTGTCATTAAAAGATCAGATACAGGTCGCATAGAGGCAAAAAAAATCTGATTTGGGTCACTTCAGGCTGCAGTCTGAACGTAGCCTAAATGCCATACTGTGGAACATTCCAGACAGAGCAATGACATGTCCATAGAAATAGAAACATGACCCCCTCTACATAATGCACCTTTAAATATGTACTAATTTCCTCATTTATTCATTCTTAGATTTTTCAACAAATTTATGTTCAGAACTTAGTCTCCAAAGTCATAGTCATTATTGTGACATTAACCTACGTAAGGAAATATGGTCATCTTGAGGTTGATGTTGTCGTGTTTTTAGAGCTACACAATATTAGCATTAGCATTCTAGCCTGTATGCTACATGTATTATTTAAATTCAAGTTTTGCTGTGTTGGCTTGTAGCGCTGTTTTATTTATTTTGTTTTTTAATGTTAGGTTTTTAGTGGACTTATTTATTATTTACAAGTCTTTAATTTGATGTATTTATCTATGTTTGTTGTGTTATTTTTTTGCATTTTATTGTGTATTATATTGTGTAATCCAGTGTAATGTTAAGCTAACGGCTAGTTGCAATGTGTTACGTAGAAAGCCTTTGAGGTTGCGATTGATGGAAGCTTTTTTTTCCCGAATGTTGCTGCAGTAGAATTGTAGCAGAGAGGAACCTAACCTAACCTATTACTGTCTTGACTGGGCGTGTTTTAGCTGGACACATTTTCTATGCATTCTCACTCGAGCACTCGACGGATCTGTGAATCACAATGGGCAAATGGAACTCCGATTTAGAATGGACTCCTAATGTACAGACACCCTTTCACCTTCTTATTGCTAATGTACGCATCTTAGTGGATGAGTGTAAGCGGGGAGGTGGGATGGAAAACGCTGGAGTGGACATTGTAAGTACACGTGTGGAAAGTGCGTTGGCCATTTTAGTGCTGTAAGAACGACCAAACTTAATAACTTAGTATAATTTTAATTTGGTATGTAATAAGAAAGCTTTCAGAAATATTAATGTGCATAGGTTAGAAATACATGCATATTTTGGGAAATCCGTGCACAGTTGTCTGTAGTTGAGCATAAAATAAATATTCATTAACTCTCGAAGGAGTCCAGTCATGCATAAAATATATTGTGTGTATTTTATCCATCAGAATACGAACTGAAAAGTTACAACATCAAGAATTACAATCATGCAATGAAAATTACGATTACGCTTTCTTCAGTGTGAATATGAATTCAGAGACACGACTCAACTGTCAAAAATACGTCAACACTTCACAGGCATTATTTATTGAGCAGAAGAAACATTGATCGAGGTGCCGGACTTTTATGCCGCACACAGAACTGAACCAGGACTTTTCAATTCGTATTATGATGGCTAAAATACACACAATTTTATGTACGATTGGACTCATTTGAGAGTTTATGAATATTTATTCTATGCTCAACTACAGCCAAATATGCACGGATTTCTATCCTATGGACACATATATTTCTGAAAGCTTTCTTACTCCATAGGAGAACACATAAAATCAAATCAAATCAAACTTTATTTATAAAGCACTTTTCATACAAAAATGTGACACAAAGTGCTTTACACAGATTAAAAACAATCCCACCCACCAACCCAACCCCCACAGCTGCCCGACTCCACACAACCAAAAAGGTGGGTCTTGAGCCTGCTCTTAAAAACATGAATATTCTCTGCAGCCGAGCTCCTCGAGCTGCCATATAGACGGGGCCATAGTACTGAAAAGACGCCTCTCCGTGAGTGTGTGTCCTGACTTTGGGAATGAGCAGGAGCCTGCTGCCGGAGGAACGCAAAACTACATCATTTTGAAGTTTTGAAATTATGGCAAATTTGAATTATGATATATTTACAGTTCAGGTATTTAGAGGCATATTTTAGCCAAGTTCTGATGAACTGCAAATTGAAAATCAGTAATCAAAAAAAAAAAAAAGGAAAAAGTCATTTTGGTTAATATCACCCATCACAATGGCACTGACAATAGATAAAATATATACCAAAAAAAGTCAAATTAACTAAACAATCTGAAAGAAAAATGCGAGTTTGGGGAGCTGCAGTCAAAACATGGCCGCTGGGTTGATGGTCAGTCGCTGTAGGTTACCTGAAAGTCTGCTCTAGAGTTCTAACCCACCTCCCCGTCTAAACTCCTTTCTTTACTGTCCATGTTGTTTTCTAAAATGGCTGTTACCGCTACACCCTTTTCCTCTATGTTACTTTCTTGTACATAGCAGCTGACTGTGAATCCATTGTTACCATGATGCATTACGTTGTTACTCGAAAACCACTCCTTTTTAAAAATATCACACCATTCGAACACTTGAGCACATTGTGACCACACATTCTGTATGTTCCTTTTATGTGGTTGTACTTTTTAGATTACACTTTTGTCATTTTACCCCACAATAAAATCTATACCATAAAACTACTGCTATTTTTGTCTAGTTTTTCCTCATTAAAATGTGCCATAGACGATGCTGGTACGCCATCGACCGCCGCTTGAGAAGGCGAGAAGCTGATGCCAATTACCATGCAGAGGAATCGGTTATGGGAACAAGGTCAGGACTTCATATTCCCCCAGGTGTGTGTAAAACGCGTAGAAAGACTCACGGTTTAATGCAGGGTTTATTAAATAGATAAATACGAATGCTATTTATAGGCTTATATATTCAAAATGGAAATACAGCCACAGAGTAAACCGTGTAAATCAATATTGTTTGCACTATAACGCTTCCCTTGGCATTCCTGGTTAAATGGATCACCGTGGAACTTTTCTGGTTACATAGATTAAAGGTGCACTATGTCACTTTTTGGTTACCAGAAATGTTCCACAGTATGACATAAAACGGCTCTAGCTTGCATAAATTAAATTACCTTTTTTTGTTTTACCTAGAAAAAACAGGCATTCTAACTGTGAGTGGGGTTTTCCTCTCCACAG